ATGTTTCAATTCAGTCTGGAGTCATGGATTATATTCAAGATGGTGGCTAATGTTCTGGCATGGTCTTCAATGGATATGCCATCTCTGAAGATGCCATCCATCAAGGCAATGACTCCATTTATGTCTCTAAAGTGTTTCATCATTTTCCTGTGCTCTTTAATAGAAAAGTGTCTTGGAACGCTTGTTACTCCAGATGGCAAACACTAAAAATCATCACTCCAGTAGTTGTAATACATAAAGTCAATTTTGCACTCCAACTTTCTAGAGGAATTTGCCCATAATTGCTTAAGACATTCAATTTAGAAAATTCTTTGGTTCCTACTGATTTCAAGAATAGGTACTCTAGTGTTCAACATACTTGTCCAGCTTGTGTGGTGAAGCATCCAAGACCATGTAGATGACCACAAACCCTCAAACAAGCAAAACAGTCTCTGCCTTAGGCAGGCTTGTGGAGTTCTGGGGAGATCTCTTCTGAAATTACTGTGTCATCAGCTCCAGAGACTATTTTACGATGAACATTTGTGCTACAAACAATTACTGTACATGTTCTCCAGGGCAGGGCTAGGCCATCACAAAATACAGAGGTGACGAAAGGACTGTAATCACTTCTGTGGTATCTTTACAAGGCAGACACATAGCAGCAAAATGACCTGTTTTTGAACTCTTTTTGTACTGTGCCTCTCACCTTGGGCAAACCTCTTCTAATATTGCATAATGTTCCATATCTTGTATGCACAATCTAAGAAAGCAGGCCTTTTACTCCCAAGTGCTTTCAAAATAGCTAGACAGTTCTCTGGGCTTTTTCTGCACTGCTTTTTTGGAAACAAGAGGAGTGAATCCACACCTCTCAAAATGGATGATTTTACATTTTAAGGAATACAAACAATCACCCTCAAAGTTAATCTCAAATTGTCTTTAATTTCAAATTGGGATTTTGATCTGCTCTGGTTGTTTTGCATTCTATGACACTGTAAAGGGTTAAGTTCCCTACTAGCTGAACTCTTTCAGGAAAGCCTTTGTCTACAAGTTGAAGCTCTAAAAGTACTCCTTTTCAGCTGCAAGCTTACAGTATGCAAGCCTGCACATATAAGTTCTAAACAAATGAATATTTCTCAAGGCCTCTGTGCTCTTTAATAGAAGCAGGCCCTTTCATAAACCACATTTCTTCTTGAGAATGAAACAGATATCAAATTTGGCTAGAAAAACAGCATACTATGCTCACTGCTCTCTTAAGCCAAGCTATAGGATTTATAATCACCACCAACATTTTTCACCATCGTTTATAAAGCAGTAAACTTGATTGTACTATTCTTTTCTCCCTCTGGGAAGTTCTGTAGCTAGGCAAGGAGAAGCAATTTTTCTTTCCACACAGTCCATATCATAGGCAAAATGGAAGGTTTCAGCTGCAGGAAACAGTGATATCTTCGTTGCTTCGGTAACATGTAAATTTAAAAGATGAGTTCTAGCACCATGGTCATAATTGCATTTTATATTAATCCAGGATTTATTGAGCCTAACTGTGGCTTGTTTGTATGACTCAACCAGTTCCAGGCAATAAACTATGGTTAGCAACACCAGCCAGAATATACAGTGGTGCCTCGCTAGACAGTTATCCCGCATGACAGTTTTTTCGCTAGACATTGGCTTTTTGCGATCGCTATAGCAATTCGCAAAACAGTGATTCCTACGGGGGAATTTCGCTGGACAATGTTTGGTCCCTGCTTCGCAAACCGATTTTCACTAGACAACGATTTTGACAGCTCCCTCTGCGCTCGCAAAACAGGTGTTTTTGGGACCTAAGCTTCGCAAGACAGCGATTTAAACAGCTGATTGGCAGTTCGCAAAGTGGCTTTCCTATGGCCAATCTTCGCTAGACAACAATGATTCTTCCCCATCGGAACGCATTAAACAGGTTTCAATGCATTCCAATGGGGAAATGCTTTTCGCTAGACAATGATTTCGCTAATCAGCGATTTCAGTGGAATGGATTATCGTCTAGCAAGGCACCACTGTACACCTTTTTGTTGGCTTTGATTTGCACCTTACTTTAGCCACAGTTTATCCTTATACAGGATTCAAAACACTGGCTGTTGCTTTGTTTCAGCAGCCCACTGCATCTGCTCCTCAAGCTAAAGCATGAGGGAACACAGTTAAATATGGAACTGCTCCAGAGCCTCTTTGTAGTCATTTGCGCCAAATTTGCTTCTGGTTCCAAGCCAGCCTACTGAGCGTCCCTGCTTCTTTAAAATAAAAAAATATATATTTTAAAAAATAGAACACCACTTATACAGGATTAAAAATGTAAGTTGACTGTAAGTGATACCTGAACATCTGCACCAGGTGAGTATGGGGAAGGGATTGTTGTGCTCTGCTGTTTTAAATGTTTTAATACTGATTTTATTTACCATTCTTAATATAATACTTGTCTAAGTCATTTTTAATATTTGTATACTTACTGTATACAAATAGCTTTTAAATATTGTCTTTTTAATAGTGGGCCCTTTTTAAGGAGAAAGATGGGATAAAAATATTTTTAAATAAATAAAGGGGAGAGGGCAGAAAGCTTGTATGGTTGTTGCTGGCAAAAGATCTCTGATGATATCTCCCTGCCCTGTTCGTCAGCCAATCAGGAGCAGGTGGCTCACCAAGGTTATAATGGTCCTTGACCTCTGTGAATAGACTGAAATTTCAAGCCGAGAACTGGCAGCAGAAGCACTGGGGAAACCTACCAAGAATTAGAATGACAAACCACACCGGTTTTTTTTCATTCATTTGAAAGGCCTATATTTGCTCATTTAAAAACCTAGGGTTAAAACAAATTGGGAGTTGCCATTATGTACCAAAATAGCCCATGTCATGGAAGACTCTGAGGACATGCTGGTCAGGAAGTAGTACAACTTCACTATCTCTATGCAACAGGAAATGCCAGACTCCAGATATTCCAGTTCCACCTAGTGACTGAACTAGGTAGTGACATGATCCACACTGGGGCTCTGGTCAGTCCTTCACCACCAGTCGTTTGCAATACTGTATTTAATAACTGCTGTATGCACATGCAAACACCTTGTCAAATAGCAATACAACATCATCAGATGTCTTCCTTTATGTCCACTCCCATTATATATCAAGCTACTGTTCCAACTACGCTGAAAGTGGTTGACACAGTTTGATTTCAGAGGATGATTAGACTTTTAAAACTAATACTTCTCAGGTTGGATTTGAAAAATGTTTTAAAAAGAAAACCCTAAATGGAATGGAGATTAGATGTATTCCATGAGGAGACATAAAATGAAGCAACATGAATTGAAGATCTACCACTTCCTCCATAAACTTCACTGTTCAAGCTTTCTATGGAGAACAATCTATGAATGCAAACTTCCTTTTTGTTTACCTTTAGTTACAAGAAGGAAATACAGTTAAGGTCTGACACTTTCTCCTACCACTCCATCCACCAAAAAAAAAATCTCCTCTGCATTTTCTCCCCTTTCAGTTTAGTCTATCCTCATAACTCATTCCTCCTAATCCTGGGATTAGCCTTGCTGCCCTTCTTGTTACCTTTTCAAGCCCTCTAAAAAATGCAGCTAGCTAAACCATGCAAATCTAAGATGCCTTTAAACTTATTTTATCACACATCTGAGCATATATATAAGGAGCAGAGAAGAGATCAGAATGATGACTCCCTGGATCAGAGTTAGGAATTCCACTAAACTACACACACACACACACATGCACACACCTTTGCTGCTGGCTGGACAGCTCAGTAATTTAGATATCTGGCTACAGGGCCTGAGGTTGGGAGGTCGATTCCCCTCTGTGCCTCTCCTGCGAGTACAACCAACCTGTGTGGCCTTGGGCAAACTGCACAGGCTGGGGGTGCCCCCAGAAGAAGGGAATGCTAAACCACATCTGAGTATTCTCTACCTGAAAAACCTTGAAAGGGGTCACCATAAGTCAGAATTGACATGACAGCATAATGGTGAAGTTTTTTCCAAGCCTAGCATCCTGTGGTTAATGTCTGCCTCCAATAACACTTTTCAGAAACCTCTAAAATGCATATGAATTCCACAGCAGTCAAGCTGATTCAGAAAGGCTAGAGCTAGAAAGTTTAAGAACCACCACTATAGCCTTAACCTGTTATTGTTTTTATATTTCTCAGTCTATCCAATCAAGGAACAGCCCAGAGAACAGAGCACCAAACTACTGATTGGAATGTATTCACGAAGGCTTTCATGGCCGGGATCTAAGGTCTGTTGTGGGTTTTCCGGGCTCTTTGGCCGTGTTCTGAAGATTGTTCTTCCTAACGTTTCACCAGTCTCTGTGGCCGGCATCTTCAGAGCCCGAAAAACCCACAACAATCATACTGATCGGAATCTTAATGTTAATATATAGCTACACTCCATATGAAATTCTAAATCGGCCAGAATATGAAGAGAGACACAGGCACAATCCAGCCATATATAAGGGGAGATTTGGGGTGGGGGGAGTTAAGCATACATTTTGTTCTCCTATTGAAGGCGCACTCCAAAAAGACTAAGGCATGAGTAAATCTGTATTAACAGCAACAATCTATAAAATCAGCAAGCTTGTGCTCTTTTACATTATCAGTAACATCTCGGTCAAGTTACTGAGCAGGAGATTGCTCTCACATTTCACTTGTTTCCAGTGTGCAGAAAGGCACATACTTAATATGGGGGGGGGGGAGGAATCACAGGGTTTAAACTGAAATGGGGAGGAAGTTGCCTTTTCCCCTCCACACAAGGAGTTCAAATACTCAAAGCCTGAGTAGACTCCAAGCGACATCTATGCCAAAGCCGAAGGAATAACAGGAACAATTACCACTGAAGGTTTGGAGAGATCATGGGTGACTCTTACATTGCAAGAACAGCAACAGTTACCAGTAGAACCACTACACCCTTTGAAGGGAGCTGGATATCAATAATATCCCAGGGCAAATCAGCCAAACGCTTTCGTAAGCCTTTTGTTTTTGTTTTGTTTTTTACCTTTGTCCCAAGAAAGGAGGTTCTTAGAATCAGGAGGAGGAGGAACATGGCCCTCTGCCACTAATTCTCCCGTTCCCACCACTGCTTCGGCCCCAGTGGAGGAAATCATGCCTCAGCTCTGCTTAACCCAAGAAAGGAGAGCGAGGAACCCAATCGCTTCGCAAAATCTCTTTCAAGGCGTTTTCCAGTGGCGCGCGGGCAACCTCTAGCAACTCACACAAACACAAGGCTGGTCGCAACGGCACACCGGTCGCGTTCAAAATGCCTTTGCGGGGAAAAACCGTCCTAGCTCGACGACTCCTGTATTATCTTACCGGACGGCGGCAGCCCCAGCCCTCCTCCCCCCCCCTCCTCTGGGTCTCCTCCTTAAACCCTCAGAAGTAGCCTCCTCACCCTTTCCCCGCCCTAACGTCCACTCTCTAGCTAGCCGGAGTGACTCCCGCAAGGGGGGGGGGAGAAAGAGGGGCTGGGGGAGGAAGGGCGAGCGGAGCGCACACCCAACCACAACGGATTGGCAGAGCCGGGCAAGCCCCTTACTTAAGGCCGGGAATAGGGCGGAGGGGGGGAGAGGAGGAGGAGGAGGAGAAAAAAGAGTGGCTCCACCCTGATTTTATGATGCAATGTGGAAAGAGCACCGAGACAGTGAAGTTTATACGCCTCTCGCACTCTTTTCTGTGAAGGAAAAATAAAGGCAGCGAGGAACGGAGCGTGCACCGCTAAGGCTTGCCTTCTCCCGAAAGCAGCGCGGGGCTCCTCTGGCCCGGCCAACAGGAAGGCAGCCTGAGCTCCCCGGGACCCCTTTCCCGTTCCCTCCCCTCACCCACCCAGCCAGCCAGCCAGCCGGCCGTCTCTTTGGGACAAGCGTGCACGACGACGACGACGACGACGACTTAAAGGCTCAGGGGGCAATCCCGGGCTCCGCAAACTCACCAAAAGCCACTCTGAACGCGCCCCCC